ATATATATACTATATTATATGTGATGGTAATTATGACACTTAAGAGTTTATAAATAATTTGATATAAAATAAATTGTTAAATGAATTTTATCAATTTTGGTATTTGATTCACTATTATAATTACTAACACGTAATAGATATGTATATATATAGACATAAAGTATACAACATAAAATTTTATTCGAGAAGCCCTTTTTGAAAACACGACAAAGAGAGTAAGACGAATAAATACTGTATAAGGTAATACAAGATCTGATTCAGAGCATTCTTTTTGTTACATTCGACGAGTTTACCATAACAAAGAGACGTTCCACTTGCATAAAGAAAATTTCTTCGATTTAACACGAGAAAAGAGAGTATATAGAACTATGTAAATATATATATATAACAAAATGCATTATTATACTTATTTACTATTATATATTACTATTATATTACTATTATATTATGATATATATATATATATATATCAAATACTTTGAAAATAAATTTGATCGAGTCACGTTCGAAAGAAAACATTGGTTACGCGCTCATACATGAATTATTTAAAGTTGCATGATCATGTCTGTTTTCCCCCACTCTAAATTTTCTAATAGAGAAATTATCTCAATATTTATCGTCGCCTTGTCATCGTTATGACGTATCGCGTGCATCGACCGTGGAAAGGCTTGTCATCGTCACGAATGCATCTCAATCGCAATTCTACATCGTTGTTATTCCGTGGAAACCTTGAAGAATTGTTGTTTGTCTTTTTAACCAATTACATACGTAGTATTCTTCGTAGATACTTAACAAGATAAATGATCATCATATTCACGTATCAAAATGTACAGATATAGAACATTTTTCTATTTGATAAACGTCACATTTTTTTAATCTTATTTTTTCAAACTTCTATAAATCAATCAAATAATATTCTATTTTTTTGTTTATATATATGTATATTTATTTAAATCGTAATCGGTCATATTTTTTTGCAATTGAATTATTAGGTGAACCGAAAAGTAATGTCACATTTTTCATCTCAAAATTCAAATAAATAAATTTGTTTTTAACAAGTTTTGTATTTTTAATAGAATAATGTAATTTATCATTCTCTCGTTATCAATAATTTTTTTTTACCATCTAGTATTCAAATTTTTTTTAAATATCGGACCGATAATTTATAGTTTTTTAAATAAAAATATAAAAATTAACATACGTATAAACAACATTACTTTTCGGTTCCCCTAATATTATAAAATACTCGAAGAAAAAATTTTTTATATAAAAATTAAACATATAATTCATTATTTTTGTCATCAAAATATAAAAATATAAATCTTCAAGTGTATGACTGCAAAGTTACAAGTGGCGTTTAATGAAAGGTTTCAAAATATTTGTCTTCTTAAAATAACTTAAGAAAACAAGAACTAATATTTATTTCGTTGAGATACGTAAAACATGATTTCACTTGTGAAACGTAAGGAAGGATCTTATCTACGCATGATTTTTAGCAAAAGCTCAATTTCAATAGCAATATACGTCGTAGTTGGAAGATTAGCAAACTATTATACGTTCTTGGGATTAACGTTGATCCTGCGGTTGGTACGTGTCCTGTGAGATTGTCAATGAAATATAAAGTAAAAGAGGACAATATCGTAGTAGAAGAAAAACCAATGGGCGGGGATCCTACGCAATCAGAAAGAACGATCTCTCATCTCCTTTCTTTTTATTATTATTTTTTTTTTTATTATTTTTTTATTTCACATTAACGTTTATACGAAGGCAACAACATTTTTTGTCCTCTTGCTCTCTTTCTTTTTTATTTTATATCGAACAAGGACAACAACGTTATCAAATACATTATAAAACCTCCCACAATTTTAATTATCGAATACATTACCCCAATAAATATCGTATGAGAAGATCTTCTTAACTTTCTTTTATTTTTCTTTTTGTAAATTCCTCTTCTTCTTCTTCTTTATCTTCTTCTTCTGTCTTTTTTACTGCACCATTTTAAAATTATAACACGTACATATAATAGGTTAACCGTGAAGGGAAGAAAATTAACTATACGAGGTTAGGTAGGAGTTAAGTTACATGGAAGGATAATGAGAATTAGTTTCCTGTCAACTAAATGACATTCTAAGACGTCGAATAGACAACGCTAGTCTTGTAATGAAGTTTTTAACGAACTGGTAATGCGAGTCCTATGTGTAATGTATGTCAACGGAGAATTTGTGCGAAAAATAAAAAGAAAAATGGAGAGATAAATAAAGATAGTAAGAGAGAAAGGTAAAGAAGAAAGAGAAGAAAAGAAGATAAGAATAAGATAGTAAAAAAGGGTGAAGTAAATGCAGATATTGATAATGGAATTTCTAACAAAGTTATGTTTCTTTTCTTCAAATACTATCTCTGAAAGTATTTCTATTCAACACCTAACATATATCTCATTGTATGCATTCATAAAAAAGAAAGCAATCAAAATAGAGGAGAGAGTTAAAAAACAAATGAATTTATTTGTCCAAACGTTGGTATTCTTTTTCCAATATATTTATCCTTTCATCAAAAATTACTTTCATTATGTCAGAATGAAATAAAATATAGTATATGTGGGATCTCAATTTTGATTTTTCCTTTCATATTATTATTTTTCTTTTCATTCTTTCTTTTTTATTTTTGATTTTTACATTCAATTGACGATTCTTCCTCGATCTAGCCCCATAGAATATCATATTGCATTTTTCATCAGTATGAAATTTCTAGCAACTACTTCTTCCTCTTAACTCATACTCCAATCGAAGAAATACGATTCCCTACGTGATCTATATATACATATATGTATTTATATTTTCCATTTGAAGTAATACGTTCGTTTGACATTACTGTGATATAGTCAATGATCAAATAAAAGAAAAAAAAACCGGTCAACTTCTATAATAATTATTTGGCTAATATAATTTGTAAAATATTGGGTTGGTAAGATAGTAATTTCGATAGTAAGTAAATATATATATATRTAGGGAAATCAATCGTTCTGTATCCGGCTAAGGATATTTAATCTCCCCGTGTTGCCGACACTACTTGAGATATAAAACATATTCTTTATTTTCACAAGTTATTGTTTATTACAGTTACAATATAATTACGTTTCGCAACTTCTCACACTCACTCAGACCTCACACAGTCACTACTCACTCGCTATTCTTTCACTATTCACTCGCTAATCACGTTCGTATCGAATCGCTCGCTATCATCGCTCGGTTCTCTCTCTTTACTCCCGAAAAAACGCCCTGCACGCGTGACCGTCTTCTCCTTATGAGGTTTCTCCCCTACCCTGCATCCCCGAGGGACAAAACCTTTTCTAATCGTTCTCGAATTTTCCCAACATCCAACCCGGTTCAATAAACAAATCACTGATATCGCTCGAGAACCTTCCAGCTCACACCGACTTACACACACAACTTCTTCGCTTATAAAAGAGCAGTCCAAATACCGTCTTTCTTTATTTCGATAGTCTTTCGTTACCTGCCTACTTATCTCTGTGTTTACTCTTTGATATTCAACACTCCCCACATATATATATATATATTAATATATACAATTTTAAATATAATTATTTATTATTATTTTAATTTATAATTAAATTCATCAATTAAATTTTGTATTTATATAAAAATATAAATTTTATTATATAATAATAAATTATATAATATAAATTTAATTATATAACTAATTAATTAAATTATAATTAGATATATATGGCAAGAAAGTAATATTTCACACTAGAAAACTGAAATTACTTTTCTGCCAACCCAATAGATATAAAATGATTATTATAAATTAATAATTGAAAATAAATATTGAGTCAAAATAAAATGTTAGACTAAAAAAAAAAAGAAAAAAATGTCGATCGATTAAAACTTGAATGTAAGAAGACTTCGAAGAATTTTTCGTATCTTTGTAGGATCGATAAAATTTTCTTTCCCTTTCGCAAATTGAATTCGTTCATTTCCGCTAATTGTCGGTATTTCCTGATAACATTACTCACTTCAGATATTAAAGATATAAGAGGGGATTCACACAATAATATGAAAGGCGCATATGTAAGAGAATGACGTATCATAGCATGTCTCTACCATATCATACGTAATATGTTAACAATGATGATGTAACAAAGTATCCTATGTTCTCATAAGTCCTTTATTTATTTTTTTTTAACAGTGAATCGACTAGATAAGCAGATGTTACCTCAACGATTCTCGATAATGTCTATAATTATACCACAAGTCATAAAAAAAAAAAATATATATATATATATATGTGTGTGTATGTATAAATATAATCAAAGATTCTAACTAATCGATAACTTTAATAAAAAAATTTTCAAATATGACGTAGGAAATTCCAATGTTGCATCATATTATATATTATCACGTGAACAATATTTCACTTACTTAGAATGAAAACCATTCAGCCCTTTCTATATTTTTTTGTTGTATATATTATATATTATATATTATATTATATTCTTATTATTATAATATATAATAATATATAAATATATAATATATAATTATTATAGAATTATAATTATCAAAACAAATTATAGAATTAAAAAATGATTCTTTATTAATTTAGAATTAAATTCTTTCTTGTTAATAAATTCTTTATTAAATTAAAATTCAAATATATTATATAAACAAAAATGACTATATATCTAATATTGGTTAATAATAAAAATTTGAATAAAAAGTAGATAAATTTATCTGAAAATTTGGTGAATATAAAATTGATGGAAATTGGAATTGAATAATTCAAATTTAGAAATTCCTAATGATTGCATGACTGAGACGATTTCATTCGTTAGACACGTCATCCTCTTCTACATTTCGACATGAGAACCACGCGTGATCTCTTTCGTGTTCTCTCTCTCTCTCTCTCTCTCTCTCTCTCTCACTTTTTTTTTTATTTTAATTCTTTCCGATACCGTGAAGTTTAAGTTTTCATGTCGAAAATCACGTAGAGACTAATATCCCATTTATTTCGTAATTGTATTTACTTACGTCGCCATTTTATTTGTTAAATGCTTATCGATATTATTATAAATATTAATCGAGAACATCTGATAATAAGTAATATCGATTTATTTTAGATTAAATCGATCAAGTGACTTTGTTACCTGTATTACTCGTCATTTTTTAAAAAGAAAAAGAAATAACAAAGGTATTGTCCACATCGTTTTATCATTAATTAATCGTTAATTAATCTATCTCTTTCTCTTTCTCTCTCTCTCTCTCTCTCTTTTTATTTTTCTTTCTATTTACGCATATTAGAGAAGTAATGTGTACATGTATAGATTAATTAAGCGATAAATTATATTGCACGATCATATAATTCGACGTGAGGCGTGTTTTCAAGAAAAACAAAAGGAACTCTCGAATATTGTTTTAATCATTTTTTCTATGTCCTTTGTAATAATAAGTGAATTTTCAAGGGACCAACATGAATCYAATTAATTATCGTGTTGTTTGTTTGTGTAGTGGTCGCAAACGAAGATCTGCATCGGACGACAGTTTGAACAAATTGAGCAAAATTTTGCAAATTGACAGACAAGATTCAACTTTTCTACCGGAAGAGAATAACGAGATTCTGTCTCTACCATTGGTAAGTTTTATCACTTAAAAAAAAAAAAACACTACTTTTCTCATACCATCTTTTAACCACCCACGCGTTCAATGTTATTCTTGAAATTTATTTGAACAAGTTTAGAAACCAAAAAAAAAACAACACACACAAAAATTTGTATATTTATTGGATCAGTATTTTTCAATATTTTGAAATAAAATAAAACAGTATGATCGATATTAATCGAATTAATAATAAAAAAAAAAAAATAAAAAAAACGAAATTATCAATATTATAATGAAAATATTTGGAAAATGAAATAAAATCAACTGTGTAAGCAATATTAAATCGATAAAATTAATTGCTTATACAACAAAATGTATTTATCACTGATTAATAAAAATACTGATCAAATAAATAAAAGACAACAAAAAAAATGTATCGTATTTAATGTACGTTTTATAAAAATTATCGAAAGTAAATGAAATTTCTAATTTCTCATTCGTATCTGAAACTACGTATCTAAAACTTCATATTCGCAATATTGAATACGTAATCATGTGATAATTAGTATACTAAGTATTAAAAAAAAAAAAAAAAGTTACGAATAAATAAAAATCTAAATGAAAAGAATGATCGGCACGCGCCAAGAAAACTTTGATGAACTTTGTTCCTGTAAGTTATAAAATCCAATTTGCGTTTCTTGTATTACAAGAATGATGCAAGATTTTTCCAATAAATCATACATCATCCCGGAAATATGAGCATAAATGTATTATGTAAATATTCTGATTTTTCTTTTCATTTCTTTTTTTGTAATTTATTAACGGCTTATCAGGCGACAGTAAAAAAAAAAAAAGAAAAAAACAAGGAAAGAAGATAAAAAAAAAAAATGGTTCTTTTTGTATTAAATGAAAAGAAAATGTAGTCACATAAAATCAAAACATAATCGATACTAATGAATCAACGAACGTTCATTAAACATATTTTTTTTTTTTATTTATAGAAAGATGCAAGCGGTCATTTAGAAATCGAGAGACAATATTAGTCTAATTGGATGTTGCAATATCGACTGAGAAGAAGATCGAAGCAATCGAGTGTAGTAAGAGAAAAAAAAGAAATTAATAAAAAGAAGAAGAGGAGAAAGGAAAGAAAGAAAAAAAAAAAAAGAAGGAGAGAAATAATAAAGCAACTCGATCGTGAACCGCCTAAATCAGTATTACGGATCGTTCTCCGTCCGAGTTTGATGCACTGAACTCTTTCATGAATTTAAATGCGATAAATAATTACGATAATAAGACACGACGAATGATGTTAATAAATTCTATCGTGATTCGTAGATTGTAGTTCAAATAGTTAATACGAGAAATGGAGAAAGGGATATATAAGACAAAAATTAGTAAATTACGCAGTGCGACAACAAAATGAAGAATCTTCATTGAATGAAGAAGAAGAAGAAGAAGAAGAAGAAGAAGAAGAAGAAAAAGAAGAATAGAAGATAAAGAAGAAATGAGAAAGCCTGAAACAATCGTAATATTTAAAATTATGTTCTTTCTTTTTAAGTATTCGACATCTTAACGAGAACAGTATTCAATTCGTAGCTTATATATATAGATATATAGATATATATATATTTAATTTATTTCTTATCTCATTTTTCATTTCTTCATTTTACATTATCACTCTTTTTTCAAAGTTATTTATTTTATTTATTTAATTATTCTTAACATTAATCGACATATAAAAAATAATCATTTATTATATTTTCATAGTCAATTCACCGCAATCTCAAACGATCTCGGTGATGCATATAGCGTGCATCATTAAAATATGTATACACGTATTATACGATGGCATAATGACATAAGGAGTGATAATCACGTGAACGATGAAAGATCTGAGTAAAAAGAAAAAAAGGAATGAAAGAGTGAAAAAAAAAAAAGAGAAAAAAAAAAGAATTATTTTATCTATCATTTAAACTTCATTTTAAAAAAAAATATCTTACGTGATTTTTAAAAGTAGTATACGCGTATAATGTCGTAATAAAATGTCATTATGCCGGTACAAACTAAACAATGTAAGGAAGATAAAAAAAAAAAAAGAAAGAAGAATATATCGTTGATTTTTCTATAAATAATTTGATTCACATTCCTTTACTTATGTCTATGCATTTATCTTATGTATTTATACATCACCTTCATGTGAGCTCTTATATTAACGTCATCGTTGATTAAAATTTATTGCGCTCTCATTCATAAAGATAAAATTATTTCAAATTACATTCTAACGTTAGCACGCGCGTATTTTATGAGTATTATCGATATTTCTATCGTTTTATCTCGATATATGTACTTATTTAGTTACTTATTTACTTAATTCACATTCTTATTATCATAAGTAAATTATATATATATAATTAGTACTTATATTATATTATATATAGATGAATAATATAAATGTACGTGTTTGACGTATTAACTATGTGTGTGTGTGTGGTGGGTGTGTTTAAAGGCTGATTGTTTTAGGAATTCTCTTGAAAGAATCGTTTCGGAATATTTCAAATGTATTCTATCGAACTTATTCGATGTTACTCTCCCCCATTTCTTTTTTTATCACTGCGTATTATTTATTTAGAAAAAAAAAATATATATTTATATATGTATAACTATTTATTTATTTTAATTWATTTATTTATTTATTATTTAACAAAACGATCTGTGCGCGCAAAGTTTCCATGGATATTAAAACTATGCGTTACAGTGATTAATATTTATTATGTTATATTAATTAATAATGAAATAATTTATTGTATTTTGTCTTCATGATTCACGAGAGAGCACGAATAAAAATATAAATTGTGTCTATGCATAATCAATCTTCTTGTATTTCGAATAATCCTTTAAAAAAAGAAAAAAAACTATATACAACATTGTTTAAACATACCTTAATTTACCCGCCAAAATTAAAAAATACCTTTCAACTCCCTCTATGAACGTTATTAAAAAACAACACTTCTTAACCGATAAAAACGAAATATACATATAAAAATCGTGTTTATATATATATATAAAATATATATATTTTATATATATATACAAAACAATAATTGATTAATGAAATTTCAAGATTAATATCTAATTAATATTTATATATGCCCAAAATATAAAAAAAAAAGTTCATCTAAGGCGAGATTATTCATTTACTTATATTTAATAAACAAGGTCATCATCATATTTTACTTCTTACTTTCAAAAGATTACATTTTATCAATGAGTGTAAAAAAAAAGATACATATATGTAAAATGAAAAAAAAGGTTTGTTTCTTTCAAAGAATGAATATTGACATGAAACAATTAAAAGTCATCTTGTTAAAGTTAAGGCGCGATATAACGCGTGCGAGAAAGAAGGAGAAAAAGAAAGAAAGAATGAAACAAAGTAAGAAGGAAAGAGAGAGAGAGAGAGAGAGAGAGAGGTAATAGATCCTGTCTGACTAAAATTGCTTTGAACTACTTGCGAGTCAATAAGAAATGGAAACGGAATAAAGAATCAGACGTTTGACGAAACAAATTGAATTTTTTTTTCTTTTTTTTTTTTCTATAAAAGAAAAAAAAATTATTCCTTATCCATTATTTAACGATCGAGAAAAAAAAAGTTAATAATTTTTTAAATGATTATAAAGAATTTAATGGAGAAATTCTTACTACGTGGTGAGACCATTAAAAATGTCGATACGAAGTTAAACAGTCTAATGGTAAGAGGACGATGATATAAAATGATCGAGAGAGAAATGAATCGCGTGGTTGATCTACATTTCGCAATTATAAACTGCGCAGTAAGTTCTCTCCCTCTCTCTCCCTCTCATTTAAACATATATATATATATATTACATCTCGATGGACCACTCCCCTTGCACAATCTTACATTTCCGTTTGACGAGCATCATCTTTATTACTATCAAATGAAAGATTTTTTGGTTTATTTGATATTGCGCAGGTTTTTATCGTAGTAAAACAACGAATTTCATTATTTATCCCATTGTGAAATTTTCACATATCTACCACGCCCTCTTTTTCAAAACAAATACGTCATTTAGGTATTATTTTGTATGCAAATACAAATAAGTACATATATATATATATATATATATTTATTATTGATCATGATTTTCTTAGACAAGAATCAATATGGCTACCAAGGATTCGATATAATATCATTTGTATATCTTTGTTATTTTTCAAAATGAAACGATAAATGAAAGATTATTTTTTAACGAGTACCTTAACTATAAAATCATTTATGGCGATAAACCGCAAAAAAGCAGTAAATCTACTCTCAAGAAGATCGATTTATCTTATATATACATACACATAAAAACATGAAGTAAAAGAGAGAGAGAGAGAGAGAGAGAGAGGGAGAGAGAGAAGGGGAGAAAGAGAGGGAAGAGGCACGCGTCTTTGACAAGAAATGGAATATATGTGTAAGTGATAAAAAGGAGAGTATAGGGCAATCGTCATTAATTAGACTTAGTGGAGGGGATTTAGAACGATATAAACACACGTCCGAGGATGTCCGCTTTATGTTATAGTTTGACTCAAGACGAAATCGGTTGAGCTTTGAACATCGTGGTGTTAATTTGAGCTTAAGAGATTAATATTACAAGATAGTATATATTTTGACTTTATCGAAAAGTAGAATAAGAAAAAAAAGCCACAATGATTTCTATAAAAATCGTTATTTTTATTTTATCGTTGATCCTCTTCGATTCTGCTAACGGTCAGCCAATCAGGTAGATATTTTATTAATTTATAATCGTGTAATTGTTCCGTATGTTTTTTTGATTACCACCCCTTTTTTCAAAATACTTACAATGATCGTTATACAAAATCAGGATTAAAAAAGATTTATATATATAGAAATATTTAACGTATTTGTTTTTTTTTTTTTTTTTTTTTTCAAATAAAATCTATTTTTAAAAAGTAGGTGCGCGCATATAGGATTATAAATCAAGTTTATTACACAAAAGTTGCAAAAGTTACATCAGAATTATATCTCGTTTTTGTTCCTCGTGAATATTTCATTGAAATTCATTAATGCCATAAAGAGACGGAGCTTCATTAAACTAACATTGTTTTTCTTTGCATTCTCATTAGACTCGCGGGGGTGGATAAAAATGATTTGAATATCGAATTATCCCTATCCAATGCGGAAAATGAATTATCGAACTTATCATGGAAGTGAGTAGAATTTTTCTATATTTAAGTATCATATTAATTTGAATTATTTTTTTAAATTTATACTCGTATGATATTTTATCGAAATCTTAAAATTAAAAGAGAAAAGAAATATTTGATTTATTTTGAAAAATTTCATTAACAATTTTAGACGATTGAAACGCGTTTCCGATCAAAGATTGGCAGAACTTGAAACACTTTATAGCATTTATAAAATAAATTCCCTAACGTCGACAGACCGACCTATTTATATCAGAATGAAACCGACAATAATGTAAGTAAATGTAATACATCAAAATCTTATTTATAGAAATATCTTGGAATCTTCATAAATTATTTATTTACAATATGTTACAGAAAACGACGTAAACGAAAGAACAATGAAAATCAAACCGATTCACGAAGAATCGTTCGACATACAAACAAACTGACCTACGATGAAACCCCTAGGTATGTATTTATTTTCTTTAACAATATWTATATATTAAAATAAAAGATTCGTATATAAATTTTCTATAATATTTTGATGAAAAGAAAATCGTATAATTTCCATGAAATATCAATGAAACAAAAAAAAAACACCAATGCATTTAATTAAACGAACATTAAATTTGAATAATTCCTATGTTCTACCTAATTTCAAGGAGCGTAAAGCCTTACAGATAAGAGCGCAATTACGTATGTCATAAATTTGATATAATATATAGTATGAATGTTAAAATACGTGATGCAAACAAATCAGTGTATCTTCATTGATAAATTCTTGTCGGATACTAACTGAAATAGTTCATGTTCTTATGGACATTATCTGAAAAATGTGTTGCAATAACGATTTATGCTATTAACTTTTTATCCTTTATCATTAAAATTAAGATTCCATTATATCATTAAAAATTTAATTATGTGTATATACAAAGTATGTATGAACATATTAATGTCACATTTTTAAGTTCAATGGATAAATCCTATCATTTATTAAATATTTAATTTTATGTAGATAATACAAAATATGATATGTGATATTGTATAATTATCTGAGCAACTCTTACGCATATCTTTAAATTATATTTTTTTTAATTCTACTTACAGATGATTTCATTCTATAATTAGGGGACACTGAAAAAAAAAAAATTGAGGAGAGACACTATACGAGAGAGAAACAGAGGGATATATATTTTGCTATAATGATCTATAATTATCTAACAAGCGGTATTAAGTTTGGGACTTTTATGATAAGGATTGACGGGACGCTTTTTTTATATTACTTTCATATAAAAAAAAAACTGCGTTATACTAATTTATTTATTATCTGCGAACTAATATTCATCCGATAAGCATCTCACCCCCTCACAATCTTTACAGTATTTATAATAAAATAATATTTTTAAGCAATGCAAAGAAAGAATTTGTGAAAGAGATTTCAAATTTTAAGACGAATGTATGTGTTATATATATATGAAATGTCGATAAAAATGAATGTAATATAATATAATGATTCAATTGTACTTAATTAAGATTTTAAATTAAACAAATATATGTAAGCTTTGCATAAAAAAATTAAATATTCAAATAAAACATACCGAAATGTAGATATGACCAGATATCAAGTATATTCATCCCCAATGAAAGCTTCGAAATTCGCAGGAAGAAACATGGCGACCACATCGTCGGCGCGAAATTCTTCCTCCAAAATTTGAAATATCGGTGAACAGAATGGCAATGCATTTCTTTCTCCGATTAATTTCTTCTCTTCTTCATCTTCCATCGTCTTGGCACTTTCACGTTACGAGCACTAATTTCGAACTGATTCTATAAACTGAGAACTATAAACGAAATTGTTTACATACGAAAAATAAACATCAAAGACGACTACAAGGATTACAGAATATAACGCGTTCTTTCGTGATATTATTTTTATCGTCACACGCGAGTTATAAACAAGTCCATTGATCTTCAACGTTTACAACAATATTCTAGCTATTTAATTATCATATATTTTATGCACGAAATATTAGAATAAACTAACAAAAATAATTAATAAAAATAACTAACGATAAGCGTCGTAATATTCCGAAATCGCGCGAACGAGAACTGAAGCGCCATCATGCGAATAAGCATAGTAACCAAGTCGATTCGAGTTCTATCGATAACTCTCGATATCTCGTCCGGTCTCGCTAAAGAAAATCGCTAATATCGCGATATCGATCGAACTACCGTGTGTGGCAAGTCGCGCCGCGCCATGGTAGTAGCTTCGGATAGAGACGGTAGTGGTGCGACAAGTATACCATTGGAATCTAATAAAGGACAATTTCTGGCCGAACCTTCGGCTCTGAAAGATGCGCGAGTGTGAGAACTCGACGACTCTTGGGTTTGCCTCGGGGATGTTTCCTATGCGAATAAAAAGTACAAGGGACGTGGGAGAGGCGCGAAAATACGATCGAGTGGCTTAGCTATCATCGTTTACTCACAGAAAGCGAGAAAAAAAAGAGAGAGAGAGAACGAGAAAGAGAGTCAGACAGAAAGAGAGAGAGAGAACGAAAAAGAGAGAAAGAGAAAGAAGAGAGTGAGTAAACGAAAGAGAGAGAAGGATAAAAAGAGAGGTATGATGTCTGCGCCCTGAGTAACGGACAGGCGGACAGACAGAGACGTTTATGTCAAGTTTTTGTGCCTCTTGACGATGTTCTTTATAAATTCGGAGAACTCTCCGGAGCGTGTTCTTTAAGGTGGTTATGTGATTGTAATTGTTAGTTCGGATGCCGTTGATAGTTTCTGTCCTAACAGAACGGTGAAATGTTTTCATCGCCGGCGTCGGTGGTGGGCGAGCCGTCAGGCTACGACTTTCTGAAGGAGGAGAACGCCGCCAAGTGGAAGGGAGTGTTTGTCAATTCCCTTAGAAAGGTAAATTCATTGTTACGTTATCGAAGCACGACAAAACTAATGATCACTTTGTCCATCATACGTTTCTCATTTCCAAAACTTTCCGATAATCTTTACAAGAGCGACGACGATCGATCAATCGAGCCACCCTTCCTCTCTCTCTCTTTCTCTCTTTTTCTTTCTCTTTCTCTTTCTCTCTCTCTTTCTCTCTCGCTCTCTTTCTCTTACTGTCTACGATGTTTAAATGCTCGTACTACTTTCTTCCGTGTTCGATCAAATCTATCAATCGTCAATGTATTGGCAAATTTCTTAGCCAAACTTAACGTCGAATGCTCTTTAATTACGCAATAGATTATCTGCAATATATTAGAAGGAAAAAACAGGAAATAATGTAGATTAAACATATGCAATTAGAATATTATAAGACCACCTTTAATTAAAACTGTTCTAATCAATGATTTAGAATTTTTCAATGAAGGTCTGAAAGTTGTTATTTTATTGACTAATTTTCCTTCGATTAAAGATATTCTATAGATTAGATTCTAAAGACATTCTTGAATAAGCATACATATGTCAATGTTGTCATTATCATTGTGGTAGGTATTGGAACAAGTACATCCTAGTCTTGAAGCACGCCAAGATGCCTTAGACTATGTTGAAAGTTTAATATTAAAAATGCTGGGCATGCTTTGTGGTCATCCACCTCCGCACACACCACAAGATGTAGAAGAAAGAGTAAGAAGGACATTTCCGACTCCCATCGACAGATGGGCATTGCGAGATGCTAAGGATGCCTTAGAGAAAGGAAAAAAGAAGTCACCGTTAGTTCTTCCTGTTGATAAAATTCATCAACTGCTGCAGAAAGTAAGCAGCAATATGAATAATAGGTTTATAGACCCGTTATGGACGCATTAGTCGTCAACAACCAAAAAAGATTTATTCATACCCACATTAGTTCTTTAATATACATTTGTAGGAAGTCTTGCAGCACAAAATTGACTTACAAGTTAGTCTTTTTGTGGTAGGAGTTTTGGAATATATATCGGCAGATATTTTAAAGGTTGGTATTGGTATTACAAACTATAATTTTCATTTTAAATAATAACGCATAGGTATTTGAGATACTTTAAATTCTTTTCTTTTCAGTTAGCTGGAAATTATGTTAAGAATATACGTCATGTGGAGATCTCTTGCGAGGATATAAGGGTTGCTATGTACGCAGACATGGTAATATATCATTTGTTGAAGATATATATACTTAAGCCTGCGTTGTCCTTTTGTCCATGCACATTTTTTATTAACATACATAACATATTTTGCTACAACAAAACCAAGTCGCGTATGCATAATTTTTATTATTTTTGCACAACGCTTTTTCTTGTTAAATGTCACAGCCTTGCAAACAGATATATATTATATACTAAAAATAATTCAGTATAGTTTCAAAGTATTTTTCTTTTTCTTTTTTTTTTTTTACATCATGTTTAATTAAAACTGTACTTACAGCTATGTATTTATTCATTATTTAGTATCGTAGAATATAACTTTGAATTATATTGCCTGACTTTTAATTCACTCTTACGCATTATTCTTGAAACTTATAGATAATTTCATATTTTTCCCTTTTTAATTTATTTCATTTATTTAATCAAATCATTAGTAAGTTAAACATAATTTTGCTAGTAATAAAAGTGATAGAAATTGTTAATTAATTTGTTAATCAAATGATTATTTTAAATATCTGTATGTAATTTATACGAACTATATCTATTACTAGCAATAATTAAAATAGTTTTTGCTGCATTGTCAAATCTAAAATTTATTATTGGATAGAATTGAATGGCCACAGATTTATTGTGGCTGCATATCTTTTTTGCTTAATTACATGCTTACCACTAACATGTAACAAAATCAACGGTGTTCATTCTTCGCTCATGCTGTTCTAGGTGGTACGTACCTGCAATCCTTTAGCAAAAAAAAAAAAAGATATATGGAAAGTGTTTTATGTATTAAACAATTTATAAGAAATTTCTATTTGCTTGATGTATTGTCTTTTTCTTTTATTTTGGAAATTGAACTATACAAAATAATATTATAATATATTTTTATTTTTGATATGCGGTAGTAGATTTGTTCGCATTATTTTCAATTCATAAATTATATTATATAGAATTTTCTTTTACGTTTATTCAATATTTTAATCGATGAAAGATATATACTTTATAATGTACTACGTATATTAAATGTAATTATAAAAAGTATATTAAATTGTTATGATACGATGTTGTATAGAATATATAATTATTATATAGAAATATCATGTATATAGAATCTGTAAATTCATTATAAATTTGATACAATAATTTAATAATAATAAATGTGGTCAATACAAATACATTATGTATGCATGAAATATAATGTAAACATACTTGAGATAGATTTTATAAACATTTTTCTTAATAGCATGAATTATTTTTACATATGCATATAATATATATATTTTGTTTCAATTTACATTTCTTTTTTTTTGTTTGTATAAATTCTGCACAAAGTTAAACATAATATTTGTAAATTTGACACATATACTTGCAATACCACTACTTAATGTAAGATATTATCTTTGATAATAGAATATATATGTATATATAATAGAATACTATATTAGTAACTATTTTATATTATTAAATTTGAAAAATTTGAAAAATATGCCATTGAAATTTAAATAATATTAAAATATAAAGAAATATTTTATTATCAACAGGTACTGATGGATATGTTTTTTCAAGATGATTATTCAGAAATTCCGCAAAGCGGATTAGGTGCAGTTGTCTCTCAAACATATGAAGAATCTGTTAGAGACCTTATACACGATGAACGTCACTATTTGCGTGATCTTCACATGATCATAAAGGTATAACAATGTCCAAATTAATTTTGATTATTTAATAAGTAAAAAATTAATGCAATAATAATAAAATTTACTTCATTTAGGTATTTCGTGAAGAAATTGCCAAGCTTGCACAAGATAAAAGTGAACTTGAAACGCTTTTTAGTAATATTATGGATATATATGAAGTCACTGTTACATTACTTGGTAGCTTAGAAGATATAATGGAAATTACAGAAGAAAAACAAACTCCTACCGTTGGATCATGTTTTGAAGAATTGGCTGAAGCTGCCGAGTTTGATGTGTATATAAAGTATGTTATTTATCGATAATTATGCCGTATAATGTATCAATAGACAATAATACA